GAACTATAAAACCTTTAATCTCTTTCTAAATATTTTTTGTTCGATTTTACTTGCATTAACTATTATTGTTGATGCTCGCCTTGATCTTCCTATTAATCCTATTGATAAACTAGCTAATAAACACACAGTCATGCATAAAACGACATCGAAACCTTCAACGACAACCGAAATTCCAACCACAACGAAAACTCCAACGACAACAGAAATTCCAACCACTACGAAAACTCCAATAACAACGACAACTCCAGCATGTTGTCAATCACGTGGTAGCCCAGGATGGAACAATGAGCTACATCAGCGATGTGCTATTCCGACTGCTTTAGGTAGTTCCACTCCACAAAATTGCTGTAATTCATGTGCTGCAGATCCGAATTGTCTTGGATGGGCTATTAATAAAGATAATACACAGTGTTTTCATTGCATGGGCGATGTAGATACCTTTTGTTCAAGTAACAAAGTTGATCCAAGACTTGTTGCTGGAGATGGTGCAGAAGGTGGTTCTATTCGTTGTAGTGATGGCAGTAAATGCTATTAAGCATAAAAGTTGGTTTTTATACAATTAAATAATTTGTTTGCAGTAAAATGAAATATATAAAATCACAGATTGAAAATTTAAAAATTATCTAAATATGATTTACAAAGAACTAGAACTTGCACATGTGGTGACTTCGCCGCCAAGATTTAATGCATTTACTGAAGGATAAAAATTTATACAAGATCAATATTATATTATCAGTATAGAAGTTGTTATAAAATTACCATAATTTACTTTGGTTTATCGTATAAGCTACCCAGGATAGTATTAATTAGAGTTTCAATCAATAAACCGTTTATCCGTTTATACATCAGATATCTGATATCTAATAATAATTGGATAAAATGAATTAAATGAATGGATATTGTCACACAAGTTTCATAATTAACCTTTCGCATGTGCAACATATATACTTTTGCGTGTAACAAGTTAATAGTTTATGCGAAGTTTATCATTGTAAAGTATACCTTAATTAGATTTTAATAGTATAATAAGCTTATTTATTGTCTAATAGTATGTATAAATAGTGGTTATAGAACGTTGAGTAGTTGGCAGTTTTTTTGGATTTTAGTTTTGAGAGGAAATTCAGTAGTTTGGTATTTGGTCTTTGGTTTTAGTAAGTTTGGAACTTACTAGGTTGGTTAGTTGAATAGGA